ATTCTAGAAGTCTCTCCGAGGAGAGGAGGAAATGGGAAAACAATAGAAACGTATAGGAAATGTGGAAGCGAAGGAGTATGGGAAACAGAAAAATGGAGAAATCTTGAACTTCAGACAGCATCAGCATCAGCAGGATGTCTTTTTGCTTCAGAAACTTTAATATCAGCCGGTCATTAATTGTAATGTGTTTTTGTCGATTTATTCCAAACAGCTGACCCAATCAATACCCCCAGGGGTTTAAGGAGGTGGTGCGAGGGCGGAATTAGTTGTTGATCGGTCACTATCCTACACCAGAGTCATAGAAAACGGGAAAATATTGAAACGTAGCCTGTGTGTTGCCTCAGATACGCGACTAAAACTTTACTAGTAGGGAGTTTTCAATGGTTTTGATTTACAGTATATACTTGTAGCCTTAAGGTTTATATTTAGTATAGTAGTTGTAAGTTGTAAAAATGAAAGGCTCCAAAAGTTTAAGTCCAGAGGAATTCGATTGATCTATGATGGATCAGTATGACCCCTTAACCATTATAAAAGTATGTTACAAAGTATTTGACCCAGAAGACGTTTTCCAAGTTTGGTGGGAACCTGAGAACCGTTTTGAAGGACCATGCGACAGGGAAGGGAGGGAATGGGGTATGTGAGGTTCCCGGGTCACCTCCAGCCAAATGAGCACTTACCTTACTATTCAGCTATGTAGACGCACTGACGTTTGGGGCTTAGAGCCCAATAGGTCAACGAGCTGATGGCCCACTTGTAGATATTCACGGCATGGACGAGAATTTGGAAAGGAGGGAAAGAATACTTGACAGGGGAATGCAGAGAAGCAAGGGCAAGCTTGCAGACAGCGATCACTGAAGCGGCGAAGATTTCTCTCAGTCTAGAGGGACATATGGTTTCTAAGAAAATACGTCGAATTCTCATTTTTCCAACGTTGCAATACGTCGTGACTACAATAAATTTTATGTTTCAGCGTAGTTTATGAGCTTTGCACTGCATGTGCATTTTGAGAAGAACCCCGTAAGACTGCCAATTAAGAGAGCGAACTAGATGGAGCGGTTGTTAGTGCAGAGATACAGAATGTTTTTTTTTCAAAAAAAAGGACAATATCACGGCAATTTCCTTTGTCTCTTCATTAAAGGCACAGTTCACGATAAATTTGAGGTACCCGTTTCTATTCGAAAAGCGGAAGTATAGATTGGGAAAAGTTCATTGGTAGTGAAGAAAGCGAGAGTATTCGCCGATTTTCAAAAAAATATGGTTTCTCAAAATTAGTGAAAATGAAGATTTGGCAAGATTGCCATGACGGAAATAGCATGGAAGGGGTATTCGGACGAGATTTCAGTTGTTGCAAGCGTAAAGAGCTGACTACATCAAGCCAGAACTGTACAGAACTGTTTTTCACTGTTACTATGGGACATGACAAGTTGTTTGAACTTCCTACATGGATTACCTTGTGATCGGTGCAGCCTCTAAAATGTTGGTGAGACTCGTCCGAGGATTCACACGGGCCAGTCATTGAGCTTCCATAGCTCCCTAACTAGGCCGTTTTCCAACCCAATAGTGCCAGATATGGTATTCGCGGGGCCACAAATTTATCGTGTGGGGGAAACTCAGAAATAATTTTCAGTCGTGAGCTGAGCCTTTGAAGAATTTTCCCCATTTCATACTTTCCCTACGAGGCGGATTGATTTGAAGCTCTTTTCAGGGGTGTGGTAGTGTGTGTTCCATGGTTTCTTTCGAAAAATCATTTTTCGTCTGTTCCTAGTGTTTTTACACGAATATGCTTATGTAACAATTTAGTTATTTATTTAACAAATCGGATTGAAAACGAAGTGAATTTGTGGCGCAAATCGGAAGAAAAAGTTTTTTTTAGTCAGGTCTGGGATTGAAATTTTGGGAATTGAAATCCTGGAAGCAATGATACTAGATTGATAAAGAGATGTTTTCCATCTAGGAGGGAAAAAATCACCGGAACAGGGACATTTTACTTGAATCGTTATTCTGAGGGAAACCCTATGAGAATACACAGTAGTCCTGAGAGAAGAGGTAAAGTGAGTAATTCCGTTAGCCCAACATTTTTAAAAAGCTATAACAAAGGAAGTAGATGGTCGGAACATCCCCAGTGTCCACATGATGTTACTTGTATCGCTTTCCAAATCCAATTGTCTATTTTTTGCTATAGAAGCTTGGTGCAAGGCTGATTGCTAATCTCAGCTAGCCATTTCGCGTTTTGGAGTCCATCATCGACCAGCTGACTCAAAACCAATAAGATTTACTGAATTAGGTGAAGCATTACAATCTGCAACGCTGTAATCTGTCAAAAATCGAAGCAGGCAAACCGTCGGCAAGCTGGAAGGCGGATGTTTTTTTAGCGAAGTTTATTGCATTACAATGTTCTCCTTTCAAATTAACAGCTCTCCCAATTACATATTTGGAAGTATAGCTGTATTGCCATCAACGCTTTGAGCCACCAGGGAAAACTGGTAGCAGGTGACAAAGCACTAACGATGTCAAATGATATACCAAAGAATCAGAAGGTCTGTCAAATCATTACGAAGGCTAACATACTCGGAAGTAAGAGATAGTAATGTTCAGTAATATCGCCCCTTTTGGAAATTCATTTCAAACGAATGAAGATTCAGAAATCATTTCGTTTGATAAAAATTGGTACGAAAACAAAGTGCCCAAGAACTTCATTTGAAAATAATTGCGCACAATATACTTGGAAATCATAAATGTATGATTTTGTCTGATAAGTAGTTATACCCGACACTCAGAGGATTCTTTTTTTTACAGAACAAGATTCTCTAATTAAGTTGTTTTCAGAAACCGTTTAATTGTGGAGTGCACGGTGTACCTAGGGATCGCATTTGAATTTTATTCAGTTTGTCAATTTAATTCTAAATCTTCAAAATGCCGCTCAATTCAACTTTCTTCAAAGATGTCGGTATAAAACCCTCTTAGAAACAAATTTTGCCCAAAAAACGCAGTTGAAATTACTGGCCCCTAAAGAAGGTTGGTATGTTGGTCGAAAACTTCCTGGGGTGCGTTCGATGGTGAAGGTAAGCGAAAAGCTTTTGTCCCATTAATTCAAAAAGCATAAGCTCAACAGTGTTTTGCAGAAACAGCCACAGGGGCATTTTAGCGCTGACCTGATACATTTCTTCAATTTTCCCTACCTACGTAAGTGCTGACAATTGGCTCTACCACCTTTCTGCTGCATGAGCTTTTTGAAGCTAGTGCTGCCCGCTCTGGTGCAACTGAAGAACTGACTGCCGGAAAAGCGTCGCTCATGGCCGCCTATGAGTGAAAAAAGGGGGGCATTGCCACAGTACAGATTGAAAACACTTGACTTAACAACGGAAGCAACAGTTGTGCATGACAGAGCACTAGTTGTGTGGGAAAAATGTGAATACTGAAGTCCTAGTGGAATGTCCCGTCGTTATTCACAGCATGTCATCTATGATAGGACCGGGTGTGGTGCAGTATGATCGAAATTGTCGCGCCGCTGCAAGAAGACTCCGCGCGCGAAGGGATGTAGCAGAGTGCAGCAACAAGTAAGAAATACAGGAACAGTAGAACTAGTTGTAGAATTATGCCAAAAGTAATAAGCGCATAGCGATTGAGCTGTATGATGAACGCTAGAACTGTTATAACGAGGCAAATGGTCCGCGACAGCCGTATGCGGCGGATCGATTACCCAAAACCGTTCATACTGCCCGTCTCGCGATAGGATCATGCGCCATCAGGTCGAAGTAGCTTGTGGACCCAACCATTACGTTTTTGCGTTACGCCATTGTAGCTTTATGCTTAATTTGTTGCATTTTTCATGTAGAATACGAAAATAAGGCCTACGCTGTCTAGAATGTCCTGACCCTCAAGATCTACGAACCATGGACTGTCAGCCAGTTCAAATCCGAAAAAGTGACTTGTGGTCCCTGAAATCAGGTCCTCAACTGATCGATTATTCCCTTGAAGGGATAACTACCCGACAGGTTTTTCATACTTGTAAAGCGCCATTTTTTTTTTAACGTGACGACCTAGCTGTTTCATTACAACCTAACCAGAAAAAATGAAAACAAGCCAAGCTATAAAAAAAACGAAAATTTTTTTCAGTGATTTTTTTCGTTTTACCATTATCATGTTTTGTACATTGAGTTTATTGAATAACTATGAATTCGTACAAATTCTCGATCGTATGTTCACGAAAACAAGTGGATTTTAGATCTTGAAAGATGATGTTTTAGTGCTGATTGATTTCGCTTTGGGATGCGCCCCGTAACCAACTGCCATTGAGAAACGTAGTATCCTTTGAATGCGTGTTTGGCCCATGCAATCACTTACAGAGGGCAGTCGATGTACTGATCACTGCTTTCAACTTCTCAACCAGTACAGTACCAGCCCATTGACCCGACGAAATAGTAGACACGCGGGCTTGGAGGGAGCTCAAGCAAGACTTGATTTTTTTTTGCCAAAATATTGTGATGATTAATTGCTGTGGGTTTGCACAAAAAGTGGTAAGTAATAAATCCTTCAAAGGTTTGAGCATATCTTGTTAAAGCATAACAAGTTTGAAGTTAAGGAGTTCAATCTGACAAAGGGTAGCAAAGCGGTGCATGATGAGAAAGGCGTAATGATAGCCCAAGAAAAAATGAGGAGTATCAGTGTGGAACTAGTGGCTAACGATAGCTGCCAAACCACTTGGGAGAAAGTTCGAGTATTCGATATACTGGACGGTTAGCTGAAAAAAGCTGGCTGAATGTTGAGATGACTGACCGGTCGGCGGCGTTTGAAGTGTTTAAACAAAGCCGCTAACGAATACACAACATGCATGACACTACCGCTCAGTGTGCTCGTAGAACATCAAACAAATACCGCTAAACAAGTAATATGCAATTAAGGCAACAAGTTCAGGAGGTTCAGTTACGAAGGGATATTGAATGGGATGCCTTTTAACATAGGAAGGAACATGGACATCTCAGCATTCTATGGAGTGTAAACTATGTGAGAGCAGTGAAGAATTGCGATCGATAGGTGAACAGGAGCTCATACTCGGTACGTGATCGGCTCGGGTTAAAAACGAGTGGATCGGGAATTGAGTTGAGATGTAGGGGATCGGCGAGAGGGCGAGAAGGTTGTAATCCTGGGACAGAGGCGCCACCGTCGTCGCTGTTGCCCCACTGCCGCCGCCGGCCGCGTTCGTTCGTCGTCCGTGTCCGTCCGTCCGTCGTCGTGCTCGTCGGCAACGCCGGCTGCAACGCTGGCGGATCGGCCTGCCACAGCAGCTTTCCTGACAGTTTAATGAACGGAAATTGATTGCAAAATCTTTTCTTGAACGCTGGCATGGCGAAAAAGTCAAAGTCTGTGAGGCACTTCAGCCAGGTCACGCACAACGGGCTTCTAGTCGGTGGCAAGGACAACAGTGAAGGGAAGTGGTGCATGAGTGCAAACAAACTTTACTAAACGAAAAAAAATGCTGAATACCATATAAAGCAATCTTTGATGTTACTAAAAAACATTATATGTATGAGAAGTTTCTAAGTGGACAAGAAATGAACGTCAAGAATTGAGCTTGAAGTGTCCGATTTCAAGTTTGAAGCATAGTTGAAACAGGACTCTTTCAGGTTTTTTAGACATCAAACTGAAAAAAAAAATGCAAAAGTGAATCAGTCGTCTGGTTGGAGGTCTTCGAAAGAGTTTTTTGGATGATGACCTCTTTTAGGGAAGTGAATGTTGAAACCCTATGGGCTTTTGGACCCTACAAAACTCAGGTCCACCTATAGCGTGTATGAATGATGTTTCAACACAACTTTTCTAGAAGTAATATTGATGACTCAATAAAATGTATATTCTTACACTCCAGTAGAGCTTATGAGCTGTTAAAGCTGGAACCTGTCAACATGTCATTCATAAATGCTGTTACATGCGTCCATGGTGGTTCCAAGACATTCTTTCTGGCTGGATGTTTCGCTGTAACACCACTTTGACTGAATCAGACGCACAAGCTTTGGTTTTTTTCAAACGCATTGTAAATTTACTGCATAAGTTTATTTGTTGTATTGCTAATGATTACAATCAAGTTGTGCTGTCAAGCTCCCTAACAGCTTTGGAATTACATCATGAGAAAAATGTGAAGTACTCGAGTATTTTGACGATTAGCACTCATAAGCTGGCACTACATCGACATCTGGCCTAAAGTTTTTCTCTCGAAAAGTTTCAAATCTACAGTTCGAAATTACCTATATTATTGTCAGCTACAAGTAGACGGGTATGGGTACATACGTGCGTCCGAGAAGGCTCGCGGAAACTTGCGCGGCAAAATTCGTGGCGATTCCAACGACTCTGGCGCCTATTATTGGGGCACAAACTTAAAGTAAAGAAGTTTACTAGGGTCAACTGATCGTACTAAACTACACTACTTCAAATTTGGAGCCCAATGATAGGCGCTAAAATTGTTTAAATCGCCACGAACTTCGCTGCGCAGTTTGCCGCGTGCATTCTCGGACGCACGTAAGTTCCGTCCCCCCAAGTAGACAATGGCCAACTTGTTGTTTTGAACCAGTAACTTGTAATACATGAGTAAATGATCGATAGTTAGTAGTGGAGTACTGCGTGCCAGCAGCCACTAAAAATTTTTTTTTGCAACTTGAGTCATGATTGCCATTATACCCGCTAATATTAGCACATCTCGGTCTAAAGATGCCGATATCAATGAAAGAAGCATTTCGGTCAAAAAACGCTCGTGATTGGTCATCATTGCAAGCCACCAATCAACAGCCTCTTAGTATGCCCCCTACTTCCAATAGTATAACTTGGCGGACCCAGAAGTTCTGTTCCGCTAAGATGAGGAAGCGGTGTTCACTATGGCTACGATATAATTCATTGAGGAACGTCTTTTTCGAGGAGATTCCAGCCCGTAAGAGGGTAAGAGGGGTGTGGTGCAGTATGAACGGAATTGTCGCGTCGCGGCGGGAGGGACGCCGCGCGCGAAGGAGCGTGGCAGAATGCAGCAGCAAGTGGGAAATACAGGAACAAAAGAACTAACAGTAGGATCATGCCAAAAAGAATTACTGCATAACGATTGAGCTTTATGAAGAACGCTAAAACTGTTATATCGAGGCAAGTGGTCCGCGACAGCCGCGTGCGGCGGATCGATTACACAAAACCGTTCCTACTGCCTGTCTCCCGGGTAAGAGGGTCCTCTTGAAGGGGAATAAAGGAATGCTGCCCATTCGTCTCTATCTGTGCACCCCTGATCTGTGCATCCTTTTAGACTTACAGCGTTTGTAAACTTTCATATTTCGCTGCTTGTTAATTAACACTTGTTAACCCTTTGACGACAGCGCGGCACAACGGTGAGCCACGGTTTTTTCGTCGCGTGGGACAGCGCGGCTCAACAGTGGACCGCACCCTTCTCATTGGTTGTTTTTCTCGATTATTAGTTTTACTTCGGGTTTTTTGTATTTATTGGGTTTGCAATCACCAAATAGCACTATACACAAAGTGGGCCAAGAAAAACATTGCTAATTACTGAAAATTACTGATAAATTCAATTCTCTCCCTGGAAATCACACTTTTTGTGCATTTTTGAAAACAGTGAATGTAAAAATGACTTCCACATCTACTGCCCCTAGGATAGACTGGTCTTATGAGAGCGTAAACGCTTCGATAAGCTCGAGTTAGTTGTTTACAAAAAATTTCTCGAAAACTTGCCCTATTTTTAACTGCCTATCTTCAACTTTAATTAGTATTCCTTTTCGCCTTTTCAAGTGTCGGAAAAAGGGCGCTATGTTCCAATAAGACATTGACTATATATCGGTATAGAGATGTATCCTTGTTTCAAAAGTCCGTCCATTAGTCATGACCACAGCAAACACAGCTGCAGAATCCTTGCCCGTGGGCTGACTACCGATGTAAATCTTGAATCTGAATCTGGAGTAAATCTTAGCACCCCCTGTGTACACCTTAAAAACATAGCTTGGGAAGTTTTATTCTTCAATTTTATTTTCGTCGGGTTCGGCCAATAACCTTTCAAAACCACCTTCTAAATCGTCCAGTGCAGGCTGATAAATTCCGACTCTCAAAGCTATATTATGCATAAAACCAACCCAACTAAAGTTAGAAACTCATAACTACCCAATTTACCCCTAATTCGAACTGAATCATGAAAAGAGCGCATGAAAAAAAAGCAAAAAATATTCACTTTAGAAAAATGTATAACCCGTGGGACAGCGCGGCTCAACGGTGAGCCACGGAAGCGGAAAGCTTCGAAATGCGTCTGTCCCGCGCGCCAGACACGCAAAAAGGCGCGCTGTCGTCAAAGGGTTAATTACGCATTATTCAATGTTTCTGGAAATGACTACAAGTTCTTCCAGTTTCGATAGACCGTTTAGTCATTATTAAGGGAGCTGGTGACAGAAACCAAAGAGGTGACAGTACTTATCCGAGTTTCTACGGCAAGCGGCAGTGTTCTCACGGCGGCTACGGTTTATTTCTAATGGAAACCAAACATTTCCCTTGATAGCGCGACTGCGCGCTATAGGGTGCGGCGATTGGGACGCGATTTTCGGGGGAAAGATACCACACTCATGGAAGCTTATAACATGAACGTTTTTTCTATTTACTCAAGCAGCTCAGTAGGCTTCAGCAGTAATGCAGTCATTGCACCAGTAGCGAGAAGTGGACAGCACTTGGGAAAAACATAAAACAATCGCATCGCGCCGCTGGCATGCTTGCATAGATGAATGAAAAGCGAAGCTAGAATTTCGTGTTATGACCGTCCTAGAGAATGGGCTATAGCAAGCATTTGAATTTGCTCCTGGTGGTCTTGGAGGAAAGCGCTGAGAGCATCTACAAACTTGTCTTTCTTCCGAGCATGGATCTGGTGACTGTACCTTCATCTGCAACTCCATTGCCCATGGAAACCTTTGGACAGAACTTTAGAAATATTCTTTGAAAAAGGATGTTGGTGAAAAACACGGAAATCTTGATTGAAAATAGCTATCCGGAATTTCAGCTCCGTTTCATTGAGGTAGGCCCTGGCAGCTTTATTTCGATGGTTTTTCCACTTGACTGCCAGACAAGAATTCGGACGCGTTAAAAGGGCATTTTCGCGAGTTCGACGGAATTCGGACGAGTTTAAGAGGACAGTACTAATCTATTCAGTGCCCAGACACGTGCAGAAACCCGGAAAGCTCTTTCGATAATTCAATGGAGACTTTTTGAAAAAAATTGAAGTACTAAAATAATGAAATTATTAAAAAATCAAGCAAATCTGTATGTAAACGGGTACCTGTTGGATAGACAGTACATTAGATTCCTGCACAATTGTACAGGTTTTTGTGGACAAAAGAAGTGATTGTATAGACTACTCTTTGGGTAACAGAACTGCTAGAGACTGAACTAACTCTTGTGAGCAGCTGTCGTTTTCAGCTAGAAACTTATTGATCCTATTACTTACAACTTTTAGCAGTTTTTCCTATAAGATAGGGTAATTGTACTGACGGAAAAGCCATTAAAACCACGAATATCATCGGATGTCGATCGTCTTTTCAACTCACAATCAGTCTGCTTTGACGTGTGGCTCCATTAGTTCTGATTTTCGTCGGAGATCATCGAAGAAGTTATCGGAGAGGTTTGCAGAAATAACAGATTTCATTAAGAAATATTTCTATTTATTGAAATGTGTGAGGATCTTGCTGATAACTAGTCTATGTAAACAATCCCCAGAAATCTGCTTCCAACCCAACAGTTAAGGAGTGTTACCGAGAAACGAGGGTGATTTTAGTGAACTTGACAGAACTTCCTGCTATCATTGAAACTCTTGTAAGCAAGCGAGTTTTTCGAGTTATTATCTTGTGCCACTTCATCCTAAGAACTGTGGACCGGATAGTTGTGTAAAATATGATCACGTTGCAGCAGCTCAGACGCGGAGAGACATGTGTTCCTAGCAAACATAAGCCTCAACCCCTCAGAGATGTTTCCCTTGGCAGTGGGTGGTCCAAAGAAGCTTGATCCACGCTAATGAGCTTTCGTGGACCACCCAGGGTGAGGTGGTTGCCGTGAGAAAAATTGTCAGGGAAGTTACTCTAATGGACCAACATACGTATGTAGTCTCGAGCTGATCTTGTTTATGAAATCCAACCTGACAGAAGCGCCTTCCACGCATAGAAATTTTTTGTGTCTGTGATTTTTGTAGATGCAAAAATCCTGTACATCAATGAAACAAGCTGAGATGAATGGACACAATCGAAATCCTTCCTCCCACCCCCCCCCCCCCCCCCCTCTCAATTCCTGGCTCGGTAAATTGGTAACAATCCTGTCTGGGAAGCTTATAGCAAGAAAC